CGTGTAATCAAGATGAGAGACCACGGCTATAAAAGCGAAGGGGGATTTGGGAAGTCTGTCGCAGCCATATCCTGTCCGTACACGTGAGCAACCCATTGCGGAAGGTGCAAGATTGATAAGGAGAGTTTTCAGAATTCAGCGTATATTGCGGGACAGACAGGATCCTTTAGCTCAGCGCGACAGTGTGCTCATAGAGAGATATCGATATTCCCGTGAGGGTATTATTCACTTAACCAACTTGTTGACGAGGGGGTGCAGGACCACCACCTGTCTTTTTTTGCTCTGCCCTTTTCTTGGTTGCTGTTATAAACAAACAGATTATTTCAGGGTCTCTTTCCAAGAGACTAAAAGCAATATAAGTGATAAATATTACCATTCTGTAGAATATTCTTATATTTCACTTTTACTTGTTCCCATGTTCTAGTGGGTCCTGTCGTGGCTCTAATGTGAAAGAGGATATAATGTAATATAATATAATAAATCTACCCTACCGCCTACTGGTGTTGGCCAGAGGGGCCGATGGCGCGATATGGCAGCCTGGCTTCTGCCAGTCTGCCCCAGGGCAGCTGTGGCTACAACCGTAGCTGCCTCCACCAGTGTGTGAATGTGAGAGTGAATGAATAGTGGAATTGTAAAGCGCTTTGAGGGCCTCGAAAAGCGCTATATAAATCCACTCCATTATTATTATTATTATTATTATTATTATTATTATTATTATTATTATTATTATTATTATTATTATTATTATTAAATTACTTACGAGTTTAATTTGTCAGCAACTTTCTGCCAGCCCTCTCTCCTTGCTTTTGCAGCCTTTGCAGTGTTCCCTTGCATTTTAATTAAACTCTGAAACTCCTGAAATCCCTCAATCAAGGGTTCTTCCTCTGCTGCCGAAAAATACCGAGCGCGCTCCTTCGACATTTTCGCTGACCAATCAAAGGGTTGCCGATCAATGTTTCTACTATCGATGCGTAGCCCCTGTTAAGCCACCCAGTTAGCTCACATTACTTCATCCAGCTATACTAATCGTCAACAACAGGTGTGTTCGAAGAACCGGAATAGCGAGCTCAAAGTTAGCGCGATTATTTGATCTTGGATGTAGTAAGCGAGGTACGAAGAACGGACCCCTGGTTTGCATCTCCCTTGTCAACAGATACCTGCACTCCAATGTGCCAAATCCAATTCAGCCGGTATGTATTGTGCTAAATGTAACACATGCCATATAACAACCGGAAGACAGCTCCCTACATATTTCACCTACAGGAGCTGTCCAGCCATGGAAACCCACACCATGAAGCTCTCACTGCAGTGTTTGTGCTTATGTTAATGTCAGAAAAGGTCCGGATCTCTGCAATCACCGAGTGATGGTGACTTTTTATACCCCTCGGCACTTAGCGACCCACTATGTACCTTTATGTGGTCTGCCATTTCGTGATGGAGCTTCTGTTGTTCTCAAATACTTCCACTGCAATAATGGAATCTTATTACAGTCTCACACTAATTCAGTCAGCTCTTTAGAATGAACCATTCTTTCACAAATGTTTGTAAAGGCAGACTGCACGGCTAGTTGCTTGATTTTATCACATGTGGCAACAGGACTGAAAACACCCGAATTTAAAAAGGCATAGGGTCCGGTACTTTTGTCCATGTAGTGTATGTAGGTTCGCATACATTGGTGCCAAAATACAGCTATGTTTCTGACTTTTAAAAAAAAAGAGCTACATCATTTGCTTTGATTTTTTTTTTTTAAATATACAATCACGAGCAATAAAAAATGAGCTCCACGTGTTTATCTGAATAATAATGATAATTATATTATTACAAAATTATAATTTTGAATTTTATGGAAGATTTAATTGCAGAGGTGAACTCTAAAACCTCTGAAAAAGCTGGGACCTACTGATCAGTTCGCTCTATTTTTTCTTGAGTAGCAGCTCTCCAAGTGTGATTTTTCCATTTTCTATTTGATATTTACACGTAGCACTGAGGATTTATTAACGCTCACTGATTACAGCCTTACTGTAATCACAGCACACCATTATCAGATGCAAAAGAAGCACAGCAATATTTAACTGAGGGGTATCATTTCCAGAAAGACACGAAAAAGGGAATAAGGGAAAAAGCATTGAAAAAAGAAAACAAATTAATCATCCCTCTCTATGGGAAACAAAAACAGTCATAAATCAAAGAGAAAAATGAGGCACCTTATCTGGCTAACTTCACAGCTAAGTTAGCTTGACTTCTAACGCAGTCTCAGGAGAATGGCTACAAGGTTCCCAGGCAGTGCAGCACAGTGTTGCACTCTGCTTAGGCGGTTATGAACCAGATATAAAAAATTTACTTTAAAATGTCCTGTTCATAGCACGTTAACTGACTACAGGAGGGCTCTCTAGGGACAGAAGGCGGAGGCTAAAATTGCAGCAATGTGGAACATCTGCAATACAAAAAGGGGTCATTTCACAGAGTGGGCAATGAATGACATTGTTCTCACTGACTACTAAGAATACAGTACTCCTAAAACATAGATCATAAATAAATGTAACATAGATTATAAATGAGGATGAGCTAAAAATTGAATTACCAGTCCCTAAAATACAGTCTGTTTTAAAACCACTGCAAACTACAACCTCAATAAAAACCATTAAGCTGCTGCATATGGAAGTACAATTAACTAATGACACAGGTAAGGCATTCTTACCTTTAGGTGTCTCCACTGCAAACCATCTGCCCACATCTCATTCTATCCCTAGTATCCTCCTCTGTCATATCAACCATCTGCATGTCCTCCTTCACTACATCCAGCACTCTCTGTGGCCCTGGCAGCTCCATCTTCAACATCCTTTATCCAATATATGCACGATTGTTTCTCTGTACGTGTGCAAACCATCTCAGCCTTGCTTTTCTTACTTTGCATAACTATTTTTATGTGTATAATCAGTTTGCATATTTTGACATGTTGTTCATGGGTAGTTGTATATGACAGGAAGAGCATTCAAGGTTTCTTTTCACATTGTTGCTAAACTTTACTATATAGCTAAACTGAAAAAAAAAAAAAAAAAAAAAACTGAGCACTTAAACCTGAAGGTCAGTTTTAATAAAAAATGAAAAACCAATTTCCACTCGTTTGTCAGATCCATTTATCAAATCCATTTAATACAATTGCATTTTGTAGCTTTGCTGGTCCTGTGGTCTAGCACTGTGGCCTTCCTTTTAAAAAAAAAAAAAAAAAAAAAAAGGAGAGGGGGGGGGGGGGGGGGGGGGGCTGCGGTGGATACAGTAAAGGAGTCGAGAATCACACTGTGAGACTGTAAAAGTGCCAAATTAGTACCAAATTAACTCAGCTTGCATGCTCTAGCACAGCGAGAATGATCAGGAAGCATAAAAGTCTTATAACCTATACTAGTAAGATAACCCTTATATTATGAAAATGTGTAAGCTGTTTGCTTCAGTGCAGAGGGGGAAGGAAAAAAACCCACTGATCAACATCCAAACCAATGTTTTCAGCTTAGGTAGAGTTCTGATGAAACCAGACGGTGTTATTTTACAAAAGACTGACAGTCTGTCATCATGAGTGGTGACTTCATTCAGTATCTGTGCTGACCATTCAAACCACAAAGCAGTGTCCGATCGTTAGAATCAAAGTTTTAACATCATTACAGAGTACATAAAGTACCTATCAGTGCAGTCTAACACAGTTTTGAAGTGAGGTTTAGTCATAGAGCCACATTAGCATTGTGACTGGCACATAAGTTACACCATAGCTACATTACCCACACACTTTTCTTTCCAAGCTCCTTAGACTACGATGACCTGGATGACTGAGAACCTTCACAGACATACCCACATTTATTATAGTCACCTAGATCAATATTGATACAAAATTTACAGTTTAATCACTCTTCTTTAACAAAACAAAAACTGCTAAAAGGCAGTATTGATTGCTAGGCTGTAAGACTCATTTCTGCCATCAGATTAACCTTACAAATAGAGAAAACTATGCTCAAAGTTAACATGAAACTAAAAAAAATATTATTACCAATATAAGATGTAAATATGAACACAAACTGAACACTGAATGATGCTGATGCTACTGCTTCAGTTCAAAATATGGTGCATGGTCTAGAGGACAAGATTAAGAAAGACTGCTAAAAATGTCATTGTCACAGAAAATGCCTGTGAAAGAGAAATGAGAGTGAAAGAGCCCTCTCATTGCAACAGTAACTAAATAAACTGAAGTAATTAAGCACCTTCTGGCAGCAACCTTCCAACAAATGTTTTTGCATTTAATACACATTTATTTTCCCAAAACATATATAAATAGAGTTCATCTTAGTATTTATCTGATTACTATAAATATGGAATGAGAATACTCAAAAATATGAGAAGACAGACACTGGTTAAATAACCTGATCAAACCTAATGTGTGGCACCTAAACCTTCAAGAAATCTTGTTTTTTTTTGGTTTACTTTTTCCACAAACAGTTTAGGTAGCTGAGGGCAGTAATACTTATAATGCAAGCAGGCAACTTTCTACAAGATGCTGGCGTGCAACCAGACAGGAGTGACACATGACAGGTCAGTATTGAGCTGGTCTTAGTTGTTTGTTTGCTTTTAGCGCTTCAAAGATGCAATAAAGCATCAACCATCACAACATGTCAGTGTGTTAGCAACAATACTGACTGGACATTTTATAACTGACACCTGCCATTATGACAGCAAAACACTTAAACTTGCACGCCCAAAAAAAAAAACAAAAAAAAAAAAAAAAAAAACACACACAAAAACATGATTAAAGGATGATTAGATTAATATGAACTAAATTTGAAGTAATAGAACTTACAGAGGAGAAAATAAGAGACAGAAATACTACATAAAGAAAGGTATATAGTCTGGTGTCCCCGTACAGTGTACTGTCAAATAATAAACTACCAGCGACAAGAGAGGGGAATTAAACCTAAAGAGGGCAAGTCCACTTTTAGTGTCAGAATCTTGTACCATACCTGACGGGGTTGCTGGTAAGGGACACTCGCAGTGAGTCTAGACAGGAAAACAGACGTTCATCCATGACCCCTGACTTCAGCTCACTAAGGAATTCCTGGGGAGAAATCTGATGGCTGCTTCTCAAGTTGCCCTGTAAAATGAAAAGAAAGGAAGAAGAAATCTCTCAAATACAGCCTTGCAAATTCTGCCAAGTAAAAATAAAAAGTTTGTTTGTTTTTGTTTAAATTGCCCAGTTTTTCCTGACTTTTGACCAATCCTAAAGCACTTAGCTTTATTCCCATGCTTGCTCATTTTAATGTACCTCTAAAAAGTTCCCACTTTATACACACACATACACACCTTACATGTCCATACACATTTCTAGTCTAAGGTATTTCTGAATGGAAATGTTTTAAAATGTATAAAATTTCAAAACTATCAACAACACAACAAGCAAAATTACTGAAAAAGACCTTAATTATTAACTTTATATATTTAGAATGCATGAACCGGGGGGGGGGGGTAGCTATACCAAGAATTTCCTTTTCATTCCCTGACAAGACACTAGGGTTACTACTGAGTAAGACTTACTACTGCTTTTGTGTGGGTGGGTGGTAAAGACTTGAAGCTAAACTTACTTTTTGTAATGTTCTTGATTGATCAAAGACCTCAGATATCACCATCTATCACTATCTGAAGGAATATATAATCCCTAATCCCAACAGGCTGGCAAAAAAGAAAAAGAAAAATGAAAAAAGAAATATATCCAGTCTGTTTCTCACCTCACACCTCTTCTATAAAGCCCTACTCTATAGAAATATATACAGAAAGGCCTCTAATCTGAAAAACAATACAAATATATTTACTTTTCAAAACTTCAGTGATAAAACCTGTCATTTTTATTCAAAGAATGTATCGTATAGCAGCAAACAGTCTTATAGCCCAATAAATAGAAGCTTGTTACATATATAGAAAAGTCAAAGGTGTACAAGCTTTTGAAATGGCAGCCAGAAAAGTATAGCTTTAGCTCATGTGATACTGATTGTTGAGTAGCTTGTTGTCCTGATTGAACTCCGGGAAAACATTTTATTTGGCATGTGTTCCATGTTCAATTGGACTTCACAACATGGCTCATGCTCATCACCACAAAACACATCAAAGCACTCCACTCATTTCAGATAGCAGTCCTATGAAACTATCACTCGCACAACATCAGAACCCTCCAGTGTTGTTACCACGGCTAAAACATGTCATTTCTGCTCCGCTTACAAATTGGTTCTTGATTGCAAGCATCATCAGCTTAGTCCAACTCCCACTTTGTATGTCTCTTGCTCGGTGCTGAGTTAAGTCGAATGGTGGTGGCAATTTCACAAAAACAAACCACTGCCTGGCTGCACAACAGACCATCAAGGATACAGAAAGTGTCTGCCTCCCTCTCTTTTCCTCTTCAAGCCCAATGATCAACTGCCTCTCCCATCCTGGTGAGAAATGATGATGACTAGGCGGTTTGTTTTTCAGGATCTCTTGGGCTTTCAGCAGCAAGAGGAAAGTATGATTGCTGCTCTTGGTAGAAACAGGCCCGGGTCCTTCTGGTGTTTCTTATCAAAGGAACATTCGTGGCACCCTGTTTGCCCAGTGACAGCAAGTCCATCCACATAACATGGATAGACTCCAGATGCATTAAAAGCTTCATATGTTAAAATGTGCACTTGGAGCATAATGCATGATTTTCTTTTAATAATCATTTCAACTGAGGTTATAGCCAAAATGGACCAGTGAGTCACTGTTTAGTGTTTTTTTAATACTGCCTGATTAGAGTTCTAAGGTTGGTCAGGGATGTACTCCACTCTTGAAACCTTCACAGAAAATACATTTTGGAAGACACCCCCCTGAATTTCAAAGAGACTTGACCCAAAGCTAGTATGTACAGGAGAAAGATGATGTGCACTCATAATGTACCATTTATGCGAGCATTGTATTAACATACAATAGACCACGGGTGTCAAAGACATTTTAGTTAAAAGGCCACATACTTCAATTTGATCTTGAAGTGAGACCAGACCAGTTTATTAAAAAAAATGAAAAAGCGTAATAACATACCCTTCCTTTAATGTAGAAGCACAGGTAAGGTCTGAAAATGTTAATGAACCATTCATTTACAAAACTTTTACACAAAAGCCTAAGATGTCATATTAAATATGCACTACAGATGGGAGTGAGACTATGCACAAAATTTTGGAGCTAAACTCATTTATCTTTACACGTCATTATTAAAACAGCCTGATAAGATCTGCATATACTTTCTGTACACATTCACTCCATGGTAGTAATACTCTGACCACTTCACCTTGAACAGCAGTGCGATTTATTAAACTATTTAAGATATAACAAATTCCCTGGAATTTTCACACTTTGCATGGGTAGGTGGTATAGCTTCAAAATTATATCACAATATTTCAAGAAAATTTGCAATAATCATATTTCAGACGAAAGGAAAAAAGATAGCGGGTAGCAACATTTATTAATTCAAGTAAATGAACAGCATTTTCTATCCACCTTTGCCAATGAGCTACTGTCACTGATGAGACACAATCTAAATCAAAGTGTTAATCTACTGAAACAACTTTCCAGTAGCAGAAGCATCGTAGTGCAATATTAGTGGCACACAGCATTATATCAAATGACATAGTAAAAAAGCAAATGTAAGCACTAACATAGTGCAGCCCAAGTAGCGTACACGTATAGCATGACAGCTTAAAACTTTAATTTAACACTACAGTAACGGCAAATTATTCATGTAACTCTGTAGGAACTTCACAATACTGTCAGATAAGAAAACTGAAAAAGAGCTTCGACCTGGGGTGTTTGTGTTATTTTGGGTCAAGTTTTCTAACCAGCTGCTTAATATCTTGCTTTACCACTGTGCAACAACAACAATAATAATAATTTCCACCCAAGCTTGGCACTTCCTGTCATTAAGGAGTGCAACTAGCGAGCGGAAGCATCAGTTCTTGGTTGAGTAATTTGTTTACTTTAGGGTTGCACCAGTTGCCAATATAAAATGGTGAAACAAATTTGTGTTGTTTCTACCTTTAGCACAATTGTTTTAAAATTTGCAAAGTGTTTGCATTGCTCTTTACTGAAGGTTGTTGAACTAGCTGCTTATTTTTGTTAACGGTATTAAGTTGTTAGCAGAGACGGACATGCTAACATGCTCTCAGACAAACCATGACTCACAACTTCTAGGTATACAATATGGCAAAGCCCTACTGCACATGGACCCATTAGTAGGTCAATTCTAGCCCCCGCCTGCATGCAGTAGACTTTTGTGTGCTAAATCAGCGGTCCCCAACCTTTTTTGCGCCACGGACCGGTTTATGCCCAACAATATTTTCACGGACCGGCCTTTAAGGTGACGCGGATAAATACAACAAAATAAAACCAGTACCGGTACCGAAAAAAAGATTTATTCATAACATACGTGAAAAGACCCAGGAAAACCGAGTTAACGATAAAAGTCATAACAAAATAACGCTGAAAACCGATAAAAACCCTGAAAACCATACATTTCAATTCTCGCGGCCTGGTACCAAACGACTCACGGACCGGTACCGGTCCGAGGCCCGGGGGTTGGGGACCGCTGTGCTAAACCATGTGCTATATTTTCAAATTAGAAACAATACACATGGATTTTGGATAAACCCTTTTACACAGATTCTGACCATTTGACAGGTCTTAACATAAATTTTCCCCATGCTCAGCTTCAGTTGATCGAGGAGTCATATTTTTGAAGATTCTTTGAAAGCAATTTAAGGCAAGGCAAAACTCAATTTCCTGCACAGCAGGGGCATTGCACATAAATCAAAACACAATGTCAAAGGTCAGCAATTATTTTTTGTGACAACATACAAGGAAATTGTTTCTCTCCAAGGCTATCTCCAAATTCACAGACTAAAAAAGGAAGTGGCATACATCGGTTTAAAAATTAAAGGTCAATTGGCAAAACAGCAACATGACTGAGAAGGTCACATTGTTGTTGTTATTTTGATGGCACGTTAAACAAGCAAAAGCAAAACAAGAAAACTTCAAGTTCCTTTGTGTAAAAAGTAAAAACATTTTTGTTGATATATACTTCACCTTGCTTAGTGTTTTAAACTCAGTGACACCACATTTCCTCAGAAATGTTGACCTTTTTCTCAGAACTTCTCTCCAAAAACACATAATGAACCACTTCTTAAATGCAGAGTATTATAAATCTGCTCTCTTAAAGAAATTAATTTCACTGTTTTTTGGTTGGTGCCCACATTTTTTTACCATGCAGGTATGAAAGGTAACAAATGCAGGCCAGTCACCATGGTAACTAGAGACAAGGATAGACAGCCTAAGGCAAACTTGAAGGGATGTCTGGTTATAACAAATATAATAAATTTCTTACTTGGATGTAAGAAATTTGGACTTGGACTTATTTCATACTTCTTTGCAACACATGATGGCAACTTAACCAGAAACCTGTAGCTATCAAATACGAATAGGCCTTACTGTTCACAATGTCAATTATTTGTTTTTTTTTCCCCCCCTACCCATTTCTTCAGCTAATACATTAACTTTTAAGAAGTGCAAAAGACAAGTACAATGTCTGGATACCAGGAAGTTCTTTTTTTAGCCTTTTCATGTAAGAAAAATGATATATCGATGCTTTACAATGACTTGTGGAAGCTTAAAATATTTATATTCTTTAATATCCTGTACCTCATACTGTATGCTACATACTGTGATCCATCAACAATAATATGACTGTCACAGAAATAACTTGTTTTCCTATTTCCCAGTCACTCTTTATTACCTGCAGTAAATGTTTGCTATAATCATAAAATAAAATGAATCCACCTCCATGTCTGGGCCAAAAAACAAAAACACAACAAGAATAATGCAGATATGCAAAGAGCTAATTCACCTCTGCTGCTCACTCAACAGAGTGCGTGCCTATGTGGAAAGCGAGACGTTGCACTTCTCTTCAAAGATTTTTGACAATGTATTTTTGGTCTTAAGTGGTATAAAAAAAATAAATAAATACAATTCATTTTGTTGTTTGTTCACAACAACAATGTTAACTTAAGTGTCATGATAACTGCTGTGAGTGAGAGAGATGCTGAGTACTCAAGGCAAGTATATCCTTCTACATTTAAAGAACACAATTAAACAGGTGCCGAAAACTGAAAACCAGTGAACAAGTATTCTAATATTTAGCCCTAAAATTCAAGCTACATTCACCCGCACCATTTAAAGCGGGATTTTCCACTTTTGTTCTTAAAAGATTTCCATCCACATAAAAATGCAAAAAATATATGTCACATGCTGTCAAAAGTGTTGGTCATATACCTCTAACTGCAGAAAAGCTGGCCAATCAAAGGTCTATAAACAATATCATGGGTCATAGTCTTCTGTTTAAAAAGGAGATAAATGCACGCACATGTGATGTTGCGTGACACAGTCATTTTCCAAGTTCAAATTTGATACAGAAACAGTTTCAAAAGCTTCATTTTCTGTGACTTCAAACTCCAAAAAGGCCAAAACGCACAGAAAAAGTGATGTTTACCAAAACACGTGTGGATGGTACCTCACAAACCAAAACTCAACCAGTTACCTTCCACTCAAAAAAGTTAGAAAGTATGAAACTCAAACTTCTTCAGGCTGCTAGACACTGCTAATTAAAAGCATCAGCAACACGTTTCAATGCAAACATTCAACCACATAAATATAAAATGTCAGTTAATTTAAACTCAAAATAGGTGAAATATTTTAAATATTTAAAAACTTACAGTTTTAGAGGCAGTTGATATATACTGAATGACCATTTCTTTCTTTGTGTTGAGGTCTTTTTCTCTCAAAGGAGTCTTTTTGTCCTCATTCAAGTTCATGTCTTCCTAAAAAAGAAAAGAGAAAAAAAAACTACAACATTACCGTGGCCAAAATTTGATGTTGTTTTTGAATGCATAACTGACTCTGGAAGACATTAGCATTCTGCACTGTTTCTAGCGTCAGCAACCAAATATCAGCTGCTTTGTGGCCATGATCATAAAATTACTGAACTAAAATGAAAGTTTGAAAAATATCATCACTTGTGTTAAATTGATTATTTGTCTTTTTGAATATCTTTATCACTTAGTCCCTGGTAGCACTTTTTTTTTAATGAAATGTGAAAATGTTGTACAAAAAGTAAGAACACACCATCATCTTTTCAAAAAGAGCCAAGATCTCCTTTTCTGAGTTTATCTTTGACGATAGTTCCTCAAAATGATGTGAGGTGGAGGATGAAGAACTGGACCAGTCGTTTGCATTGTGCTTAGATTGTGTCAAGGGTGGGCGCTCCTTTTTACTACCGGGAATCCGAATACTGGCGAATCTGTCCAGCTGTAGAAAGAAAGAAAGCACAATTAAAAATAGAAAAAAATACTCCAGACTTGGAGTCAAGTTTAGATGATTATGAGCACATTTAAATGGTTAGTAGTCAAGCAGAATAAAAAAAACAGTTATTAATAAACTAGAATGCAATGCTAGTAATATGAAACAAACTACAAACAAGAAGTCTGTCCTATGATGTTAATGGCTCCAATGCCTGACTGTTTTGGTTTTGTTAATGATGCTCAAAATAAGCAGAAGCAGTGACCTCAAGTAAGGTGACGTTAGATGTTGCAGAGATCGATGACACAAAGCACACACAGAAGCATATCAGTTTGTCAAAGCTTACCACATCATCTGTGATGTTTCTAAAGGGTAAGTGCTATAAGTGGGGAGCAAAAAGAAACAAATCAGGATACACACATTCAATTTTTTAAAAAATGCTTCTTTAAATGGAGTGGACAGTACGACTCTGCAAAACATCAACACCAACAACTGGCAGGGAGGTCTGCATACTCATGCACATAATAGAAGTTTCTGTTTAATGTTGTTTAACTGTTGTGTCCTTGAGCAAGACACTTCAACCGTTGGCTACTGGTGGTGGTCAGAGGGCCTGGCAGCGCCAGTGTCCGGCACCCTCGCCTCTGTCAGTGGCAGCTGTGGGCAGCTGTGGCTACAATGTAGCTTGCCATCACCAGTGTGTGAATGGGTGAATGAATGTAGCATAAAGCGCTTTGGGGTCCTAAGGGACTAAGTAAAGCACTATACAAATACAGGCCATTTACCATTTAATGAATGATCCAAAAATATCAGAAAGATGCACTTATTTCTTCTGTCAATTAAATCAGCAAAGACTCGCTGCCTTTAATAGAACTGGCCTGACTATGTGTTTTCCTTCCCAAGTGTCCATGGTGTGCCAGATATACAGCTGATTTAAATAAATTTATTTATTTATTATAGCACATGTCCCAGAAACTTGCATCACCAAGTACCAAACATGACATTTTTGACAAAGTTGCATCTAGGCAAAACTGTTTACCATTTGCCAGTGTTAGAATATTTGCATGTGTGTGGGTTATTAATTTTGGCAGGACTTTTTTGTTGTTATCAAGTTTTTACATGGTCACCATATAAAACAACATTTCTATCACAAATTAACTGCTACATGGAGCCTGACCAATACAAATTTTAAGACCTATTCCAAAACAGATATTTAACTATTTAAAAATTCAATATACTGTTGTTGTTTTTTCTTTCAGCCACACAAAACCGATTTCCTTAACACATGTTACATGTAGTCATCTATGAGGTCTTTCTCAAAAATATTATTTTCCAATTTAATTAAATAACAACAGTAATGACTTTATCAGAATCAGAATCAGAATCAGAATGGGTTTATTGCCGGCGTTTATCATTTTAGTTCTACCTCTGCTGGAATATGATAGGAACTGGCCAAAAAGCCACACAACAAAATAACTACCAATTAAAAACTATATAAAGGACATTTTTGTGATGAAAGAAGAACTTGCCAAACACGGTAATTACTGATAAAGTAAAATTCATTATGGCCACAGCAATTCCAGTCCTTCAGTTAGTCCATTTGGGGAAAAGAAAAAAAAAGGGCAAAAAGGCATCTCACAACTACATTAACACACTGATCTGACATGTTTCCACCAGATATAAAGTGCTTTTTGAACAATCTTTGGGAGAGTACGCACTATGGATATAGCACATTTACCAGCAGACAAACATTTCAGTTAACTCATTAAGAAAACTAACATCCTGCATTACAGCTGTGGCAGAGGAGATGGTGGTGACCTCTGCTTTCAAGAGGCAAAAGCAAAGGTCACGAGAAGCTGTAAAAGAAAGCCCACTAATGCAAGCTGCAGTTTTTCAATACTCTTTTTTTTTTTTTTTTTTAAATACACAAAGATGGAGAAATCTCAAGAAATCCAGATGTTATTCTGACAAGAAGGTGAATCAAGAATAAAACCAGCATGTTTGGGGTGTTATATATAGATGGGGGTGGTATACATTGCTCCCCTTACCATGAGGTATTCAAAAAATGTTGGAGATCCTAGTAAAGCAGGCGTTGGCTTTAAGATGACTTTTGTTTCCACAGCAACAACTCATTCCTTAGGCTTTGTGATACTGCCTCTATTGAAACTGGATGTCATCGAAAAATTCACTAACATGTAGTTAACTCTATCAACTGAAGAAAACCTCGCTTCTTTGGTATTTCCTCTTTAAAAGAAGAGGCAGGCACTCCTAATTTAAAGATCCTGTGAAAGCAACTTGGTGTCTCTCATCCAGACAGACACTAACACTCAGGGATTACTTTGTGTCGGATCATGCCGGAACTGCACCCTCCCTGTGTTGCAGATCCTCCTAACTTACAAATTAGGCACTGAAACACTCTTCTAAAAATTACCACCTGAGCGGAGTCACAGCAAAGACATCAAAAGGCCTCATTCCATGTGAGATGAAGTCCACTGAGATTTTACTATGCTATATGCTGCACATTTTCAATGAGCAAAGTTACTTATGGAACAAAGAGTTTGGCTTAAACAGAAATTATAAAGTTGTCTTAACATTTTTTAGCAGACTAGCCAATAAAATAAAAGCCTTCTAAATTAATCTCAGAAAGGTGTCCAACACTTGACTGGACATCTTTGTTTACGCCAAACACCTCTGGTTGATGGAAGGAAGATTTGCTGAGAGTTCTTGGTCCCATCTGGCTGGTGCAGTCATTTTAGACTGAATGCAGACCAAGGCTTCCAACACCTTTGTCTTGGATCAAGCAATCTAAAAGAAACCTGGCTGGGGAAAAAGAAGAGGCTTTGTCCTCTTGCTTTCCCACCTACATATCCATGAGATCACAGATTCAGCAAGGTCCTGCAGATGGATTCAAAGTACTACAGTCACCTTTAAACAGGCAGGCTCAGACTCAAGTTTTTATGGCATATTTCGAACCACTGAAACTCAATTTCTATCCACTTGTCTAAAGATATCAAGAAATAATATATAACAAAACTAGATTAAATTATGTTAGTAATAAAAATATAAAGAAGTAGCATAGCCTGACTACATCAAATATGTCTAGTAAAGGATTTGGAGGACGGATAGAAACATTGTAGATACTCCATGATTTATTTCTTTAACACCATTTAAAATTCACTTTAATAGGTTTCCTGCATTTATGCTGAATGAATAGACATTAAATGTTACCGTAGCATGCCAATCAGAATTAGCTACAGTTTTATATAAAGTGACCAGATAACAATGACCATCTCAAGTTACCAGAGACTCTGGTAATGTGTTTGCAACATATTTCTCAAATATTAAATCAATGAGTTAATTTATCAGGTTTTAATTCTTATACACTGTAGATAAACATGTTTATGCTTCAAACGTAACTTTCATCCAGCACTGTACACTAATCAAAGAAGGTGAATCCGAATTCCTATTATGGATTGCATTGTCAGATGTTAAACGAACAGGTCATCAGTGGGAGTGGACAGAAACCATTTGAGAAAGACTAAATTTTGCTTCATTTTCCACTGGAGTCTCTGAACAGTGGCCACAGGAACTTGACTTGGAGTAACACTCTCAAGCACAGGTTGAGCATGCTTTAAAGAGATCTGTGTCACAAGCAAGTCTCCTATCAGAAAATGAAAAGGGTTTGGGGTTGTTGTTGTTTTTTTAATTGCTAGTCTAGCTGTGTAAACAAACAAAAAAAAACATGATTTTGTTTACACAGCTAGACTAGCTGAAGAACAACAACCGACAAATACCAAAGAGACTAAATGCTGTCTTGTTTGTAGGAGGGAATGCATGGATTAGTGTCAGTTAAACCCTGTGCTAATTTTAACCTTTTGATTTCCTACATGCAAAGTCAACAAACACTCAAGGTTATGGCTGTCGAAGAAATTCTACCATATAAAACATTACTTGTGTAGCCTCCTGTGCTTTGTTAACTGTTCGTTTCTCTCAGCCTCCCCAGACATGCAAGCACATTACGAAGGCATGACACATCTTCACCACGAGGTCTAACCGTGGTTGTTTGTCTATCCAAACTGGTCGTTCTGAAAGTAATAGAAAATACCGATCCAAGGTGTCTGCTACATTCTTTATATGGAGGGCCATCTACCCGTGTACTGTTCTGTCCACATCAATGTCCTTCTCTGTGGCTGGTTGTATCATAGGGAAAGCATAACACACTGAGTGACCATCTATTTGCAGCGTTTATCAAATGCTTTCTGTATCATACCGTTAGAGTAAAACCAAAGCTCGTTTTAGTCTTTTCATACTTACAAATTTTGGTTTGCGGTCTCCGTCATCGGTGTATGACGAAGTGGAGCCCTTCTTCTTTTGAGATTTACTGTCCCGTCCGGTGGTGGATTCAAACCGCTGACTGTAACTCTCCATGATGACCCAATGACTTCTACACCAGCTGACAGCTACTGAAGACCTAAACCTTTTATTGCATGCAACGTTAGCAGACGACAGAAGAGCTAGAGGACCACACAAAGGAAAATGCTTAGCACATAACAACACTAGGTCCACTAAGCGTTTTTAATGTTTAGTGCTCAGTCTCACCTGTCCGTTTAGCTAGCTAGCCAGGTTTACAATACTATCATTCACCGGTGACTTGACTTAGCGCTAATCCAATTTATTGACTGTCACGTAATGCTCTACTTTCCGTTAACTAAAAAAATGCGCCTTAAACGTAACAATTTTCCCGGAGACTTACAAAATTCACCCGAACATTAACTGAAAGCCATACAGTCATTACGAGTTTCAGCAGAAGCGTTAGGTGGGTAAAATTAAGATACTTTTTTTGACAGACCCGCGCAATGCTTACGTCAGCTTCCCATGTTTAATCCAACCAATAGCAATCACGGAACCGCAAACGGTGACTCGAGTCATAGTTTAGAGGGAGTTGATTGGCTGCCTGAAGTGTCAGTCAATCCTACTTCAGTTTTAGGGTTGTTCGTTTTATTCAGCCAGTATCTCCTATGCGATAGGTTTTGTGTGTAGGTCTTACTTGCATCCAAGCTTTTCTCTCTGTATTAGATAGATATATTAGATTTAATTCAGTTTGCCAAGTGACAGTTTTTCTCTTATAGAAATATTAAACAGAAAGTGACAGGCGATAATGACAGGTTGCTTAAATATAATTTCTTAATTAAATGGGTAAAATAACTCAGTATAAATGCACACATATAAATAGAATAAAATAAAGGTCTTTAAATCAGTTTAGTAGGCTACAACCGCCTTTTTTTATTTAGTTGGCCAAACCCAGGCTTTATTTTAGTGATGTATGGTCTAGTTTAAATGACCTAATTAGAGGATTAGAAATTAGTGTATCAGAGGGACATCTCAGGTTGAGTGCTTTGGAGACAGAGAGGAAAAGCTGAGATAGTTTAGACTTGCAGAGAATGGATACTGGATGCACTGGACAAATGATGCTGAAGCTGGAGCTGCGAGGCAGGAGGAAAAGACCAAAGAGAAGATTCATGGATGTAGTAAAAGATAACATGCTGAGATTTGGTGTGACAGAGGAGGATGTTAGAGACAGGGTAGTATGCAGGCAGAGCTGATGGAGTTTCTGTGGCGAACCCTCATAGCTAAGGAAAACATTAGCAATAAAAAAAAAGTAATAATCGTCCACATTTTTCCACATCCTATGATGTAGGATGTCCAGGATTCAAGAAATTGTTTATCTATCATGGAATAAAGTTCAGTCAGAAGTCGATGATCACAGTAAAATGAGGGTGTTTTATATTGTTGCTTGTTTGTCTCTTTGATTTCCACTGTAAAAGCAAGCTAAACCCACTGTTCAATCCCAAACATCTTGTATGATGCAAACAGCAACACGGTAACGTGATGCAACTACCAGAAACTTCTGCACACTTCTCAAGTGCTCTCCTCAAACCTACAGTTTGATCCCTGAACACATACAGTATCAGGGAGAGTTCCTCAACATGAAGCATTAAAAGTTTTTTGTGCCCCCTGTTAGTGAAACTCATAAATTATAGAAAACAGTAATAGTTCAGACTATTGACAGTAAACTGCAGGATATTAAAGATTGCTCCTGGTGGATGCCAACTGTAAACTGCTGTATACCTCATGTTGTTATTCAGTAGTTATGCGTGTGGAACTCGTACCCTTGAGGACAATTGTGTTACATAACCAAATGATGGCAATAGGATAAAAAGCCACAAGTGGTATTAACCTTTCCCTCTGTCTGTGTTCCTGCCTCCAGACTGCTAGGACCATGCTCATCCTCTGCAAATCCATAGAAGTGGAGTCACATGACAATTAGACAGGCTTAACCTCCTGACTGTTGCAGTTTGATTGATGTTGTTCTCAGAAAGCATGTCTCACAGACATCAAAATCAGAAAAATAAGAACACAAAGATACAGTACAGCTCAGCCTTTATATTTCAAGCATTAGTCTTGGCCAACTTGAGCAGTGATTCAGTACAATTATGCTCTAATTATTATTTTGTTAGTCTGCAATCATGCAGTGTGCCGGACCAAATTCACACTCATAGGTAGATTGCATAAATCCAGAGATACACCGGCATGTGATTTAGAAGAAACATATTTGGTATGCACATTATAATTTTCAGAATTTTTTTGTTTTTTGTTTTTCCAAGGCTAAAAGTGGAGTCAGACGTCACCATTAAATGAAACCTTCAGCTATGAAATTAAATTGGACCTTCTTTCAATTCAAGCTCTTGAAATCTTGTTATCTTGAAAGACCTTTATTCCTTCAATCCCTGGAGGGCTGTCTGCATGACTGCCAGCAATGTGTTAACACTCTTCATCTAGCCAAACACAAGCCTTGTGGCATTATGCCTCGCTAATCCTCTCAGACAATGAGAGATCGAGTCTTCCAAGTTGGTCAAAGAATAGCCACAGGGATATATAATCAAAAGCCCCAAATGCCAAATAATATAAATTTTGAATTTTCCTTGTACTGATAACGCAGCTGATCTGTTTAAATCATCATACCACACACAGCAAATCTGACTGAATGGGTTTGTTTTTTTGTGCTTTTTGATTGAATTACATACTTTAATAGTGTGAGCATTTCAATTCTACATTGACATTGCTTTTTCTTGTATTTGCTTTTTTTTAAAGGTAGAGTTCATATTAACACGTCTGATTGTGATAAACAGCTTCAAGGATTATCAGTAAAAAGGTGATTTAGGTAGAAATATATTTATATTTGTAAATGTTTAAGATATTTTCAACAAAGAATGACAATTGACACAAATTAAATCTCATATCAAAGTCAGAGGTTATAGGGATGCAAAGAACCAGTGCTGAATACTGCATAGAATTTGAGAACTTCACAACTATCACAATGACACAGGGGCTCAGACCTAATAAGGGTAAATTTATCCTCACCATGAAGCTTTGTTAGTGGAGCAGACCATTTCTATGTTTCACATTGAAAGCAGCTTTAAATGTTGTTACAACGTCTGCACGGAGAGTTGGCCGTTCTTTAACTTTTCAGTGTGCATATACTGCCATCTTGTGGTTTCAATTAGATGGCACCACTGGCCCTAGGTTTCAGAGATAATCGAACCATGCAAAGTGGTGGTGGTTTCCATAAGTCTTTTTTCCGTTTGTTAATTAACAAATGTTATACAGTAGTTTAAATACACAAGAAAACAAATAGATATCAGCATTCAGAAACACTCACATTTTCCATGTCTACAGAGAGTGTCTCTGTGCCTGAAAAATAAATTAGGTTTAAGCCTGCACATTATGTGTCCACCAAGCTATTCAGGCAAATTCTTCTTGCATAACTCCTTAAGTGATTTTGTTTATCCTGGAAATTTATAATAACTATGCATCAGTGATTTTAAGATTTTTTTCATAACATGTTTTATTTCAGAGTAGTCAGGGAAGCAACATCCAAAATACACATGTATGTGTTTTTCCCCCCGTTTGCTTTGTTTACTGGACTTTTAGACAATTTAGCCGAATGAGATCATGCCTCAAATTCCTGAAAAAGAGTAGAGGTTTCACCTGAGCCTTAAGCAGAAAAGGATAAAGCATGAACAAGTTAATGGTCGAGCACCACTTAAATGATATGGAATACCCTTACTGCTCAAAAAATAAAGCTGCTCTACGTTCCACACTCAACACCCAACTGATTCAGTGACTCATTACTGCAAGTCATTGAACCGATTGGGTGAACTTAATAAAGTGGCTGTGGATCAGCCAATCACATGGCAGGCAAATGGCCTTCACAGTCATCAGATCTCAGTCCAGTAGAGCACCTTTGGGATGTGGTGGAATGGGAGATTGACATTATGGATGTGCAGCCAACGAATCTAACACAAACTAATGTAAGTGATTTATCTGTTAGGTAATTTTACAATACAGACTATTTTCTTGACATTTGTTCTTCTATATAGCCTGAAGATTATTAATGAAGGACTTACATATCATTCCTATCTTAAAAAGTATAAGAAAAAGCAATAATTATTAGTAATTAAAAGCATTTTCTGATCAATGGGCTGTGCAATGATTTAGTATCAAATGTCATCTTTAAAAATATTTTTAAATGGTTTGCACTTATTTAGATAATACATGATTTTTATTTTCAGACATAAAAATTCCAAAAACATGTAATGCAGTACCAATTAATTTAATGTAAGAAATCTGCTGGAGATGATCCTTCTTGTTCAAACTAATTTTGCTGCCACCTCGTATCTTATTTCTTACAAAATGTCATATCGGACCCACTGAGACCTTATTAATATTCCCACAAAGTACTGCCCACAGCTTGAACATCATAGGCCTTATGAAGAGGCCACTTTTCTTCATCATGTGGTTTTACTGCATGGTTGATTAGTATATGGCTGAGTCTGAGTCCCTTTCATCAAACCTGTAACAGCAGTAGTCGGTTGCATCCAGGAACAGCTGATGCATGCTTGCTGTGTGTCTCCAGTATTACTCTGAGGTTTGTAGAGGTTTGTATGTGGACACACATACACACACAGTTAACTCAGCACTGTCCAGGAACGGTGTAAGGAACTCCACCTATTCCTTCTCCCATGGTTGTGTTCACCAACCCCAAAATTATTGGATATAAAGTCATACTTAAAATTACATTTATATCTGCATACGCTCACTGGCCACTTCATTAATTATACATTGCTAGAATAAGATGTGTACATTGTGGTAGTAAGTGGACATGATAGGCAACAACACTAAGGTAGGATGTGGTGTTATAATGGGTGTTATAATGGGTCACTATCAGCCAAGGTTTCGGGTGAACCCACTGTGAGACCTTGCCCCCACCCTATCATGTGACTTACTGAAATCAAATGACTAAAATGTGAGTGGGCGTTAAGGCATCTGAGAAGGGATCTCAAAACTGGCAGACAGTTGGTGTCCTAAGCCACGCCCTCTGTTCAAAGCTGGTCGTTCACAGTGGACGTAGATGGCTTCTTTCACGCCTCTTTCAAACTATCTTCTCTGTCCAAAATATGAATGTCCAAAATGTTACACCTCTCGGATGAGAGGTGAAACGTCTACAAGAAACTTAAAGAACTCCAAAATGCTTTTCTTTCCTTAGATTACTATGACCTGAATGACTAAGAACCTTCTCACAGACAAAAATCAAGACTCATCAGACCAAGCAACGTTTATGTTTCTGGTGTTTCTTCAGTTTTGGTAAGCCCGTGTGAACTGTAGCCTCAGTTTACTGTTCTTAGCTGACAGGAGTGATGTGTTACGGAGTGAGAGGTCCTCTTCTGCATAAGTCTTGTAATGAGTGATTATTTTAATTA